AGCAATTAATCGATTAAAAAAAAATAAGTTCAACAATCATTCATCTTTCTAACCGTAGACAGAGAAATGTCTACGTTTCTAACAATGTGCTTTTATGTCACTTATATGTTATGGCATGCCATATGATAAAGGGTCATGCTAAGTTAGAAGTATAATATCGAATGTTCTGTGCGCCGTTCCTAACAAAAACACGACGGGTAGTTTTATCAGCGCTTTGCTTAGAAAGGATATCCTGATTGCAGTTCGATTTCCCGTCGGGATACCGACAAGGAAGGATATTGTGAAACAGTCGTATCTATTTTACATATAACTTATTCAGGTAAATCAAAAGTTGTAATAGCTAGTAACTTTTCATGTAATATCTTCAGAACAATAAAAATAGATTACACAATATTCACACACATTATAAATAATAACAATTTTAATATGTACTTTAATCTAAATTATGTATCAATATCATTATATTAATTGGCTTTGTTATATTAATTATTCATTTTACTAAATTCTTAATATTCTTATACAAATTTAATGAAAGCAATAATCTCTTCAATATATTATACAAACGTGATATTTAAAGATGTACAATCCGTGAGGAGGGACCTGGTGACCAATAGGACAGGTATTGTTTAATACTTTTATTAGGCACCAGTCTCTCACAAACTAGGGTTCAATTCGTTTACAGTTCAACATGTTTGTCATCAATAATTCTATACCTGTTTGTGATGAGAAAATAAATATAAATTCTTAATTTTTAGCTTATTTTTATTCATTCATGTATAGCGGTTTTTCTAGTACCCGGCTTGGAATGGATGAATCCTGATATCTGTACCGTTTGGTGGATTTTATTGGAGTTTATTGGAGATTACTTCTTAAGAATCGTTTCTTATATTGTGAACGGAAAAATAGATAAGTAATAAAATCAAGCGTTAACAAAAAGTAAAACCGTTATTGTTTTCCTCTGGGCAACATACTCGCGCATCTCATATTGTGAAATAAATAATGTAATATAAATATTACCTTTTATAGATTACGTCATATATTTTAATCTAATAATAATTTTAATCAAATCAATTTAACCTCTCAAACGCGAAGTGTCTAAATTTGAACGCTTCGATATTCCGTCTAAATTCAAGAGGTCAAATTTGACCGCACCCACCCACAGCACTTTAACCCATAAATACTTATGTTTAGAGATTACTTTTATAAGAAAAAGTTTGGCATTATAGAATCAATATGACATTTTCTACCCTCGAGTGGAATAAAAAAATACAGTTAGTCTATGGAAATTAATTTATATTCTACGTTCATTACATACGCCATATTCATTTGGATGTTGTTGTGTTGATTTTTGGATTTTTATAGTGTTTTATTCGTGTTTTATTATAGTTTTTTATTATAAAATTGTAATGAATGTTTTTTGTGAACATAATTTATCTTTTTACTTAAATTATTTAGAGTAATATATAGAAATAATTGTGATGAAAATCACGCTGCCGACGTCCGCTTGGTATGTTTTTTTTTTGTTATCAAAATACAATAAAATCTTTTTGTGATGAAGTAAAACCTGACTTTTGTTTAGACCACAGGATAGAGAATTTTGTGTAGATTTTATAATGCCAAAATTTTTCCTAGAAAAGTAGTCTCTAAATATAAGTTTAAATGGTTTTAATTGCTGTGGGTGGGTGCAGTCGCATGCGACCACTCGGGATTTGCCAGGTACATGCGACTGCATTGGAATTTTATGGGCATTGAAGGGTTAAATAAATATATAGGTTCATTTATTACCCTTGCATCTTGTATATCGCCATCATCATTACAGACCTTCACAAGTCTACCGCTAAGCCAAGGCCCCAAGGAATGCCACTAAGCACGGTCCTGAGTCACCTGTGTCCATCGAATACCAGGTCGTTACTCCATTAAGTGGAGCTCATAGCCACTTCAGCTTACTAATCCGTAGGACTATGTCGGTAACTCTAGTTCTACTGCGGATATTCTCATTTATAAATTTATCACGTAGAAAAACCCCAAGCATAGTCTTCCCCATAGCTCTCTAAGCGACCTTAACCTTCCTCATATGGACAACATTAAAGGACCACTTCTCGGATCCATAAGTCGTCACTAGCAACGCATGTTGTACAATCTTGTTTTTAAGTATACCCGACGAGAGGATGTGTTGTATATACTTTAACGGCCGGTCTCAATAACCCATCTATCCCTTACTGGAAGTTAAAAGGTCTACCACTGGTATCTATAGTTAGATAATTCCGTTTCAATAATCTAAGATAGATAGAAATAGTTAACCACCACATTGAACTACCGTTCGGAGGGCTTACCGACTATCTGAGTTAAATGGGTTCATAGAAAAAAAAAAACAGCTGAGTGTTTCAATAACGTTTTGGCAGTTAACTGGCGATAATTCAAATTACCAGATGTCATAGTTTTGTCCATCGCCCAATTTTGAGAGTTAGCAAATATTTGTCGTGTTTTTAAATAAATAAAAGCTATTTTATTTCTAAAAAATGGATGTGTTCAGTGACGAAAGTGATAACGAAATGTATGAGATCGGTGTTTTTGATTCCGAAGGTGTTGTAGATACTGAAAATCGCCGAGTAAATAAATTACAGAAGTGAATTTTTTGACTCCGAAATTACGTATAGATTTAGACTAAATAAAACTTCCGTGGTCGAGTTACTGTTGAAAATAACACTAGCCATAAAAATAATTTCTTCGAGGTGAATAAAGAAACTTGTGAAGAAAATATAATTACATATGTACTTATGGTCGAAATATACGTGGTAGAGCCAGGCTGCAATTATATTAATTATATAGTTGTAGCACGAATGGGTCGGCTCGACCGGGGAAGGACCACGCTCTCACGGAATACCAGCGTCAAATAGCAGCTTTATGCTGCTGTGTTTCGTATGGTGAGTGTAGAGAACTGGAGACCCTTTTTACTGGAAAAGAGGCATTCCATCTTAGCCTTCAAGGCTGACAACGCATCTGCATTTTGATTTGCAAACGAGGATAGATGTAGATGTCTATGGGCCACAGCAACCACTTACCATCAGGTGGACTGTGTGCTTGCTTGTCATCCTTTTCCTATAAAAAATATACTACCAAACATTAATTTTGTTAAAGTAAACATGAATGAAAATTATTTTAACATTTTAGGAATAAGGGAATATCACCGTTACATCAGTTGTTATTTACCTTGAGATTTTACGCACTGTTAACAATGCTTTTATCAGTAGCAGACTTTATTGGTGTATCGAAAGCGTCAGCCAGCCGAATTGTGCATCATGTGTCACGGGCTATAGCTGGATTATACCCTCAATATGTGAAGACATTAAGCAATACCCAAAATGCATAACAACATATAACATAAACACTCACGCCTGTCATCCAGAGGGGTAGGCAGAGACTACAGACTTCCATTTGGCACGATCCTGACAGACCTCTCTTACCTCCTTCACATCCATACACCAACGCATACATGCTCGTCAGTTAAGGGTACTCCTAATTTGGCTCGTTTTCAATAAATCGCCAATTTGGTCGATACATTTTCGCCTGGACGTCCCTTTCCGACTCTGCCATTTACTTCTGCACCATAAATTTTCTTTGTCACTCTTTCCTCACTCATTCTTTCCATATGACCAAACCACCGAAGCATTCCTTTCTTAATCCTGGTCACAACATCATCTTGCAAACCACACTCTTCTCTTATTACACAATTTCTTACCCTGTCATTCAGATTCAGCCCTAACATACTCCTTAACGACCACATTTCTACTGCGTTTATTCTACTCTCGTGCTTCTTCTGCCACACCCAACTTTCACTACCATACGTTAAAGTAGGGACCAACACAGCATTGTGAATTGCCATACGTGCCTTTTTCGACACATTTTGACTCTTCACAATAGAGTACAAGGCCCCATTTACTTCTATTTCCCAAACCCAAAATGCCTTTTATGAAATCGCAGAATTTCCAAGAATTCTTGGCGCAATTGACTGCACACATGTTCCCATACAGTCACCTGGTTAATATTACCAAATAAATAAATATTTATAATAAGTAGATCTAGGCAGAAGCAGAAGCTTTGTCGAAGGTCATCTAGTGATCTGAAACTCGATCCTAGAACTTAATCCAAGTATGGCCAGAATTAGATCACAAACCTACAAACATACATACAATTCTTATTAATATATGAATATTAGTAAGTACAGATTCATTCATTTATATAGATTATGCCTAATAACGGAATCATAATCTTTACAGATTCAAATACGGGAGAAGAATTCAGAAATAGAAAAGGCATATTTTCAATTAATGTACAAGGAGTCTGTAACGCAGAATCCTATACCTTTCAACGAGCAATTCTTGTATATATATATAATCGGAATCTCGGAAACGGCTCCAACGATTTTCATAAAATTTTGTGTGCAGGGAGTTTCGGGGGCAATAAATCGATCTAGCTGGGATTATTTTTAGAAAATGTCTTTTTGTCCGTGTTTTTAGGCAATGGAAAACTGCTACAATATCGTTAGAATAAGAAGGTAAATTTTGACAGTTTGTTAATGATTACAAATAGCTTAATTGGTTTAATAGGCGGTCACAAAATCGTAGTACCATGGTTCGAGCCTAGACCGACCGACCGATTTTTTTTAAGTTCCTTTCTTTTTTGAGAAAATCTGTTTTTTCGAGCCCTTTTTTTATTATTTTTTAAAAACACGAAAATTTAAATTAAACTAATTGCACTCATGTTTTTTTATTCAAATAACCAGTTCAGTTTTTTCTATTATGTCGCTAAGATCAAAAAATATTATTCGTATTTCATCAGTATGTAATTTGTATCTAAATATAATTTCCAAAACACACGAATTAAAATAAACCGAGCGAAAAATACCGAGCAGAGTTCGGTCAACCGGGTACTTATTATTTATGAATGTTGTTGCCCGTTGGCCTGGTTCTGCTCATGATGCTACTATATTTAACAACTCTATGCTAAAAAGTAAGTAGGTACTTAGGTATCTATAAGATTATTAAAAGGTCATCGCTTAAACATGACTAATATTTGTCATTTATTTTCAGAACAATGTGAAGAGGGATCGTTTGGCAATAGATGGCTTATTAGGGACAGTGCATATCCCCGTGCTTCATATCTTTTGACACCACTGCTCAAGCCTTCATCTGTCGCAGATAATCGTTACAATGAAGCACATATAAAGACTGGAAATACTATTGAAAGGTAAATATTAATATAAATTTATTGATATTTTATTTCAAAAATTTCATGAGTATAATGTAAAATACTTCGAATTTTTCAGATGTTTTGGTGTGTGGAAAAGGCGCTTTCCTATACTCTCTCTGAAAATCCGTGTGGCTATGCAGACTACACAGGCCATTATTATTGCCACCTCTGTGTTACACAACATCTGCAGATTAAATAATATAAGGGATGTGGATCCAGAAGTTACAATGCCACATGAATCAGATGACATTATCTATGCTGAAGGGATAGGTCATCAAAATCACAGCGTCAGACAAGAACTAATTAATAATTATTTTAGTGTGTAAATGTTTAATTATATCAGAATTTTAGTATGTAAATAATGTTTAACTATATTAGGATGAATTTGCTATGCTGAACTAATTAATAATAATTATTTAAGTGTGTAAATGTTTAATTATATCAGAATTTTAGTGTGTAAATAATGTTTAAAAATATTAGGATGAATTTCAGTTGTAAATAATGTTTAACAATATTAGAATTTTAAAGTGTAAATAATGTTAATTTGTACTAGAGTAAATGTTCTTTATTTCAATAATTATTTTATTACAAAAAGGTTAATAAAAATCAATGTACAAAATAGATTTTATTTTAGAGTAAACCTCATAAAAACATTACACAAGTTATTAAAGAACACACCTTATTGTCACTATTTACACAATCTTAGCATTGGCACTATATTAATCACAGGTCACTCATTTCATTTTTCTATTTCTAACTGTAGTTTTATTTTTTCAAGTGTAACCACTTCAGTTTTGGCTTCAAAATAAGCAGCCATGGCAAAATCCTTTCTTATCTGAACCCGTTGTAGTTCTTCAGAGGGCTTTTGACGTTTCTTTACTGTGAAAATAAAAAAACATAGTTAAATTCTTTATTTAACACTCTCCTAGTTTGATAGATTTGATGACTGATGACCACAGAGATCAGGCACAGGAGACGGCATAAAAAAACATATTGGTAACTACTAATATCCAAACTACATTAGAAATTACACAGAACCAACTGTACTACATGCCTATTCCACACATTGGCTTGTTCATCAAACAATTGGGTGACCAGCCTTAAGATTTCCTGATGAACCAGAAAAAAAACACAAAGTTGTTAAAAACATGCAAAAAGCATTCACACCACTAGACCATAGAGATGGTCTGTTTTGTTTAGTAGCAACTAACAACTGAGGTAAAATATAACTTACAGGGTTTGTAGGGATTATTAAAAATAAATCTTTTTGGTGTAAAAATTTTCTCACTATCACCACACACTCAGCACCACCACCACCTCTCATCACCAAATTACTATTAATATTCTCTGAATGCTCCGGTAAAGATTGTAAATCAATGAGTTCCACAACCGCATTTCGTGCCATCATTTCTTTTTCCCTGTCACCACCAAACTCCACAGTGAACCCCGTGCATGTTGCACCCAACATAGATGTTACACGGTCCAGTGCTTCATCGGGAGGGATGTACATTTTTCCACCACCGGTCTGCAAACAAAAATGTTTAAATAGAAATTATATATATTAGTGTTCTAAGATGATTGGGTATATCTCACAAAATGTTACGAAATATTTGATGTATGTACTTATTACAAACCTTTAAATTATTTTGTCTTATCAATGCATTGCGTTTCCTTGCCGACTTCTTTAAGTTTTCCCACTTTAAGCGTAGTTGCTCAGGACGCCGTAATTCTCCCGCCGTCGCACTAAACTCTTGCGCTATGGATTTCCAAGCCTCTTCCTTTCATTTGTTATTTGTAGCATTCGTTACCTTGGTAGTAATTACTTTTTGCTTGGAAATAAAGTCAATCAGGAAGAGTATTTCGACCTTTCCAAGGGCCTTCATCTGAAACAAAATATTATAGATGCCTTACACTTGGCGCGGATTTTAGACAACGATGCAAGCTTTGTTTGTTACATTTCTATAAATGTAAATAACATGGCAAAGAAATCACAATACTTACAGTGTTTTGTTGAGCTATATTAATGCTTATCGCTGATAAAATACTACTACACATAAACAAAATTTAAAGCTTCTTGATGTCTGATGTGATAATATAATAAAAACACAAACTGTCAACGTCTAGTCAGGCCAGTGCCAATGTGTCAATGCCGAACGCCAAGCGTTGCGTTTCGTTGCTTCATTTTTTAAGAAAAAAGTTTGTCATTATTTGATGCTAGCCTTCATTTAGAAATGTGTATGATGAATAATTGCCAATATTCTATTAAAACTAATAATTAAAATAATTTAAAACATTTTATAATAATTATAATATTTTAAATCATAATATTTTATTGCAAAACGCGACGCAATTTACATCGAAGGAAAAACAAAACGCTTAGGAGGGACGCGTTAAGCAAAGTTATCATGAGCTATCTTTTACCTCGGGGAAGCTTTCGAACATTACGTTATTGAGACGATAGTAACAGATAGTTTATACTTAAATGTTTACCTTCGATAGCTGTCTACTTATAACTGATTGTATGAAATTGAGACCGGCCGTAAGACAACTGTATTTCAGGGAGACTCGAGTCACGCGTCGGAGCTGAATCGCACAATTTTTGTTTTGTGGAATATATTTTTGTTTTTACTTATTATATAAGTCAGTGCTTGACCACAATGTAATTGACCAATTGTTTGTAAAATATTTAAGTTTGTAATAAACAGCATTCGTAAAATTTTCAAAATTGAATTTACTCCCAAGAATGAATTCTAACAAAGTTTAAATTTGAGTTTCGATTATTACGTAATATACATAACTGCAATGGTGCGTTATTAATACTCAACATAAGTTAGGTATCATACCGGAAGTGCAGTTCACACAACGCTCGGTTCGCAAAGCACTCCTCTCCCTGGACATCCACAAGTCGAGTGGGCCTGACGGAATCCCCCCAATTGTGCTGAGGACGTGTGCTCCAGAGTTGGCACCGGTTTTAACGCGTTTTTTTCGGTATTTCTACTCCCTAGGCGTAGTCCCAAAATCATGGAAGACGGCTTTCGTCCATCCGATCCCTAAAAAAAGGCGACCGCTCAGACCCGTCCAACTACCGGCCTGTCGCCATCACCTCCTTGTTCTCAAAAACAATGGAGTCCATTGTAAACTGCCAGCTCATGAGGTACCTTGAGGATCACCAGCTGATTAGTGACCGCCAATACGGTTTTCGCCGTGGTCGTTCAGCTGGTGATCTTCTGGTCTACCTAACTCACAGATGGGCGGAGGCAGTAGAGTCCAAGGGGGAGGCATTGGCCGTTAGTTTGGACATTACGAAGGCCTTCGATCGGGTTTGGCACAAAGCGCTTCTTTCGAAGCTCCCTTCCTATGGGCTTCCCGAGAAATTGTGCGATTGGATCACCAGCTTTCTTGCAGATCGGGGCATCAAGGTCGTTGTAGACGGTGCAAGCTCCGATTGCGAGCCTATTAATGCTGGTGTTTCACAAGGCTGCATGCTATCGCCAACGCTGTTTCTTCTGCATATCAATGATTACGGGTTTGCGAACGTATTGTATGCAGATGACAGCACTGGTGATGCTCTTTACACCGGCCGAGCCAATATTTCTCGGGAAAACGTCTCCGAGTGCCGGGACAAACTTGTGTCTGAAGTCCAGTCTTTGCTGAATAGAGTCTCGGATTGGGGGCGACTAAATCTAGTCCAGTTTAACCCCCAGAAAACACAAGTTTGCGCGTTAACCGCTAAAAAGAAACCCTTTGTCGTATCTCCTCAGTTTCAAGGCACTCCCCTTGTTGCCTCAGCCAGTATCGGAATCCTCGGCGTCGACATATCGAGTGACGTGCAGTTTCGTGGTCACTTGGAAGAGAAGGCCAAATTGGCCTCTAAAAAAGCTTGGCGTGCTCAGCAGAGCGGGACAGTATTTCATGCCGGCACACCGCCTGCGACTTTACAAGGCGCAGGTTCGGCCGCACATGGAATACTGTTCCCATCTCTGGGCTGGGGCTCCCCAGTACCAGCTCCTTCCACTTGACCGCATCCAGCGCAGAGCGGCTCGAATCGTCGACGACCGAGTGCTTTCCGATCGGCTCGATTCACTGGCACTGCGAAGAGATGTTGCATCTCCTTGCATTTTCTTTCGCATATACCATGGAGAGTGCTCTGAGGAATTTTTCGGATTAATCGCAGCCGCCAAATTTCGTGAACACACTACGCGGCAAACGTCCCGATACCATCCATACCATCTGGATGCTTGGCGGTCCACCACTGTACGTTTCAAGAGGAGTTTTCTTCCGCTTACAACCTCTCTGTGGAATAGTTTACCACCAGCGATTTTTCCGGACCGATACGACCTGTTAAGAAAAGAGCGTACTCCTTTCTAAAGGGCTGGCAACGCACCTGCAATTCCCCTGGTGTTGCGGTTGATCATGGGCGGCGGTAGTTACTTAAAATCAGGTGAGCCGCATGCTCGTTTGCCCCCTCTTCTATTAAAAAAAGGTATATTTCAAATATTTTGTTGTACTTATTAATACATTTCCTAAGATATTATTAGTTTTAGTTCATGTCTGGCATCTACACACACACACACACATATATATATATATATATATATATATATATATATATACCTCAAATTTATTTATTAACATACATATTTACCATTTATATACCATTACCTAAAATATAAAGAACTGCTGAAATCGTACCACAATATGTTCCCATAAAATATGCCCAGCAGTACGTGAGAGAATAACAGACAAATGCACTGTGTGTGAAATGAAAATTCCGACCTTTATCTCGGCATGCCACCCTTTTTCCGTGTATCGCAAAACGTCGGGATGGCGGTTGCGAGGAATCTCAGAATTTAAATGACAAACATTTAGGGTGAGAATAAAATACCGCCCTAAAACTATTTCCTGCTTACATTTCAGTGTAAAGGTTTCATAAATTTATATTATATACGTCGTAGAAAGTGGTTGCAGATCATGAGGTCCTGCGTTCGAATTCCGGTTCGGAATTGGTTCAAAATCAGTTATTGGGTTTTCCTGTCAACAAGTTCTCAGTAGCAGTCAGGAAGTTAGCGGAGTTCCACCCCCGTACCTCAGAAAGTACGTAATGCCGTTGGTCCTGTGCCTCATTTCTCTCCGGTCATGTCAGATTATTTCACATTGGACTATGAGAGTGAGGGAACAGAGAGCGTATCTCTGCTTGGACACTGTAATGCTAGTCTCTGTTAAAACTGGTCGCCGCGTCCGAATCTCGATCTGGAGGACATTATGTACTATAATATTACCTCTCGGATATGAGAGGAGGCCTGTAGGACGCATATAGGCTGTAACT